TACCGCTGTGCCATTGGGGGGGGGTCCGTTTATAGAGAGCTTTAATGTGTTTTAATGTTATTTTTTGTAAATCTTTAAGATTTGATTACAAGTAATAACGCTAGCTCCAAAGAGACACAGAGGTAGGAGAAAAATAAGAAATATCATCACCTAAATCACTGGACTTTGTAAACTCTAATATATTTTTTTGACTGAGCCATCGTTATCAGTTGAGATAAAGCTCTGCCGATGTAAACAGAAAGTACTCAAACCAAGCAAAGCGATAACTTTATTTTGAAAACACGTTAGAATCAGTTGTTTCACAAGCACTGATATCCTTACAAGATAACGTGTTACTCTATGTTGAAAGTAATGCATTAGGCGACTAATTCGTCTTCGAAAATGTCTTCCAAGTCCAAATCTGCCTCTGTCCTGCAGCAGTTTTCGCCTGTGCCTACTACCGAGACCACATTTGAGGAAGAATTGTCAGAGAATAATGATGATGTACAATGTGGAATTGGAAGGTTTAAACCGAGGTGGCTTCAAAGATTCGCTAATCCAAAAGTATACCTGATTAATTTTTGTCTACTAGGTTTCACTCAAGGTGCGTATTTTACTTATCTCATTGGAATTCTATCTACCATAGAAAAGAGATTTGCCTTTGAAAGTAAAATTACTGGATTAATCCTCATAGCAGATAACTTAAGTCCAATTTTTACGAGCTTCTTGATTGGTCACTTTGGTGGCTCTGGACACAGACCGAGATGGATAGCAGCAGGCATGTTTATTACAGCTGTCAGTTGTTTTGTATCAGCCTCTCCTTATTTTTTCTTTGGAGCCGGGGTTCACTTGCTGGATCGGTCTGACATTTCCCTCAACAACGCTAGCAGTCAACTTTGTGAAATTTCAGGAAAAGAATGTATAGACGTAAAACTGTCCTCAACTATTCCAGCAGTTTCGCTGTTCTTCACAGGTAGCTTTCTTCTAGGTTTTGGGGCCGTGGCTTATTATTCTATAGGAACCCCTTATCTAGATGATAATGTTGCCAAGAAAGACTCACCTCTATATTTTGGTAAGAATTGTTTATTGAATAACAATAACACTGCTTATAATTAATTGGTTATTTTTATTATTGAACAGTGAATTTTAGCAGTTCTTTAACTTCTGTGAAAATGGGATTACGACAGTTAATATAATAAAAATCTGGTAACTACGCTTTTAACAATTTTCTTCCTAGTGTGCTTCAAGTTAAGTATAAACCATAAACATTTATTCGGTAGATCGTAGGCTTGTGTGTTGCTTACACGATTTAGTAGCATGGCATACAAGGTAGTGCTAAAGAGATGATAAATCATTACATAAATGAAAAAAAACTATTATATTATATTTGTATAAATAATGTTTTATTTGTTTATTCGCAATACGTAAAGTTTCTTTTTACTCAAAATACTAAGGGTACAGTAACTTATTTTGTTGTATTCACTTTTTAGCTGTTTCATTTGCCCTTCGATTGTTTGGACCAGCTATAGGATTCTTATTATCATCAGCATGTCTTCGTTTGTATGAGAATCCAACTTGTAAGTGATATCGTAAATAGAGTAATATTTTTAAGCAGTTGTTTTTAGGTATATTGTAACACCAGATGACACAGTGATTTAATACTTGCAAAACATATATATAATTAATGAGACAAGATGTTTAATTTACACATAACAACTAGAGATAATGTGCATATTTCCGTATTTGTATTTATGTAGGAGTTCACAATAAATTATCGCATACTCAAAACATATTCAAAACCTAAATAAAATAAATCATATAGTACGATATAAGCTAGCATCCTGAAGAAATATGTTACTAAATATTTTCTAGTATACAGCTGTAGAGCTTTAAACGTGTTTTTTTTTTTTGTATAATATAACTCAATAAAAGTAGGCATATTACTCTCAGGAAAAAAAAGATAGTGATTACTTCACTGTAAAAGAGTATCGCGTTTAAACAATGTTCATGGTTAGTCACATTCTATTCCTTCTATGGGACAGAGGTAAGTGTATGGACTTACAATGGGGTTCGATTTCTCGTGATGGACACAGAAAATTAGTAGGATAGCCACCTCCATAAATTTCCCTCTCATTATCTCCCTTCCTTTTATGAGCTCACAATCCTCACAAACTAAAAATTATTTCTTAATATGAAACTTCTACTCTATTCTCTAATTCAGATCAAACTCATATACAGACCTAGCCTCCGCATTTAACACTTATTTCAATATAAAGATCAATTACCTAAACTGTTCATGTATAAAAATACTTGTAGTGATTGAAAGGCCACGCACATTGGTAAAATAAAACTCCACTTGAAAACTTGAGTCTGTGAAGATTTAGGAGTATTAAACAGAACTAGCCGTCCATTTCATAAGCCCAGCCACTCATATATTTGTTCACATGTTGAAACCACAGGTCTCTATCGTTACTACAGGATCTTCAGACTTTGAACTATACGTTAAAGAAAGTTTACTCAGAGCTAAAGATCGTACAACTCTTAAAGACTTACAAACTTTTTTCAACCTAAACTTGTAACTCATGATACATTCGTAATACACAATATTTTTTTCCGTTTACCACTTTATTCAGTATCTAAGTAAATTAGTTATTAATGATACTATAGCATGTGTTAATATATATCTTTGTAACACTATTTTGAAATTTTGCTAAAGATGGAATAAGTGTATTTCGAAACGTTCGAACCTCCTAATTAAAAATGTTTTGTTTTTTGTCAACCTCTTGAAGTATGATGAGTTCATATATATATATATATATATATTTATACAGTTTTGATTACTTAGTAAGTGTATTATCTGCGTATTGGTGTGGTTTTGATAATTGTTGAAAAATTTATATTATTATGGGTATTTGAATAAAGTATTTTTCAATGTGCATAATGTATTTTTATGATGTAAAATTAACACCAATCTTGTTAATAATCGAATTGAATTCCGAATATATTAATATTTTGAAATCAGACATCATTCCATTTCTAAACTTAAATATTTTATTTCTGGGTAGCGTCAGTTTTGAGTTTTTAATATCGCTCTGAAATAATATCAAAAAGAAACTAAATGCACTTTTTTGTTTTCTTCTGCCCCCCCCCCATAGGCGCAGTGGTATGTCTGTGGACTTACAACGCTAGAATCCGGGTTTCGATACCTGTGGTGGGCAGAGTACAGATAGCCCATTGTGTAGCTTTGTGCTTAATTACAAACAATACAATGTTTTCTTCTACTTAATCTTTCTGGTTTTCATTATACTAAAACAAAAATATGTAATAGAATGTTAAATTTCATTATTCATTTATTTATTTAACTGGTCACCTGAGAAATAATTTCTATTAATCGGAATTAACTATTACTCTTTTTTTTTCCATTTTTATAAAAATACTTTTTTGCCAACAAACCCATGCAAGGAGAATCTCAACAATAATTATATTTTTGACAAGTACATATTCGTAATTCAATCAGTGCTTTTTCAAACAATGTTTAAAACAAGATAGTTTAATTCCTATTTAGATGATCCAGGATTTGGGACAAAAGATCCACGATGGATAGGCGCGTGGTGGTTAGGATTTGTTATCCTTGGCCTCGCTTTGATATTATTCACTCTTCCAATCTGTCTTTTTCCTCGACGTCTACCTAGGAAAACTGGAAATACAAAGGCTGAAAAGGCTCGTATGGATCATATCTTGTCAGAAAAAAATAAGGCCTTTAAGGAAAAACTCAAAGGTATGAGAAAAAAAAAATGCACTTATCTTATTTTTGCCCATTTAATTTCGTTCTTGATTGTTAGTATCTAAAAGAGAAGAAAAGCATTTTAGCATTCAGGTTTTCTAAATAAACACATACTAAATGGATGTTATTTCTTTAGTTCTTGGATCGATGACATACGCAAGTCAAAGTTTCCTAAGCTTGTGAAATTTACTTTCTTCATCGGTACGTGTTGTTGTTGGCCAGGTCAACTCAGTACGCTACCAATTTTATACGTATTAAGCTCTTGAAAAATAAATGTGGTTAACCTACACAAGACTCAACAACAATAATAACTATGAAATCTAAAAAAATAAGGAACATGAAATGCTTACTAATGATTAAAACATTTCTAACTGTTCTAATAAAATCGTACACTTATTAAATCCTGCATGAAGCATACTTTATGTAAGCTAGTTCTAAAAGCCTGTCTTTTTTGGTTGCTTGTTTTCAAAATACGATCGCATATGTAACATATATCATACTTATCTTAATTTCGAACACAACATAAACGTGGACTACGTACGTTCTCCACCAAAGTTTTAGCTTCGATATCCGATGGTAAGTATGGCCTATGGAAACCATAGCGTTATAAGTGTAACAATAATTTTCAGACATTTGGAAGTCCATCATTTGTATTATAATTCACCTATTATAATAAAACCGATAAAAGTTTTACGACTAAGACTAAAAAGGGTTAAATATAAGGTATAATTACAAAGCGTCATGCCTGTCACTGAATTTTAGGACTGAAATACGTTGAAGAAATACTTGGATTAATAATAAATAAACGTAGAATAACAAAAATGTAGTTATATCAAGTGTTAAATTATCAAAAACAATTATCAACATGTTTGTCCTGAGAATTTATGTAGCAAATAACTGATATATTTGTTTACAGTTATAGGTTAACTTGAAGTTGAAATAACATGAATGTGGCTGATATTGAGCAACATTCTTAGTGCCTATGCACTCAGTTTATGGCGATTTCCCAATCGCCATGCAATACCACTTAGTGTGACTTATGGTTGGAAGAATACGTCAAGGTCCATTCTAATAGTGGTTTGTTTGAAGTTAAGCACAAAGCTACATAATGAGCTATATCTGCTCTGCCCACCACTGGTATCAAAACCCGGTTTTTAGCGTTGTAAGTCCGCGGACATACCACTGTGCCACTGGGGGCGTAATGGTGGTTATTCGTATAAAAATATTGATAAATAATGTAGAGCCAAAGGTAACAACTTTAGAAGAAAGGACAGCAATGTAGTACGAAACAACACCTCCAGCCAGTCCTAAACATCACTCTTATTCCTAAAGAAAAGAACATGATTTGAAACGGGAAAACTCCGATCCCAAAGAAACCATTGTGATCAAGCAAGTATGTCTCCTGGCAGCGCTAACAGGATAAAAAACACAAATAATCTGAAATTGAACAAGACTAACAAAAGTTAGCCGAGATAGTGAATTCGCAGCTATGAGATTCAACTACGTTATCTCTCAAGACCCATGATACAGCTCCAATGGACTTTGTACCTTTGATCTGTTAAAACGTGATCATGCAAAATGAAATTATATTGAACATATGCGAATGTTTTTCAAGATGTGTTATCTAAAACTGATCTCGTCTTTCTACTGAGACGTTCAATTTGTTACAATGGAAGTTGCAGTTTTTGGGCAATTTTATGTAACCACGGCTATCAGGCTGAGTATGATCAATAATGAATGAAGTAGTTCCATGGGTAGCACGTAATTCTTGTAAAGTATTTCAATAAAAATAGAATCTACAACTAACCATTATACAGACAGATATAAATACTTTGACTAACATGTATATTCCAGAGACAAAAATAACTCGGGTTCCTGACTGGTAAGACTGAGAAATTAGAACACAAAAAGTTAAGTTTCCATAGCCAGATGGGAAGAGCATAGACAGTCCATTGTGTAGCTTTATACTTAACAACGAACTGTAGATAATAAAACGAAATACTTTGCCTTTATTACTAGCTTTGCAATTATGTTCGTGTAAATTGTGTATATGCAGAAGTAGTACATAGAATAATAAATAAAGAAATCCAAATACTATGAGCCTGGCTATAATTAAATAACTTAAATAGATTTATACATTTGAAAAATATACTTAGGATATTATGGATGCATGTTAATTATTAATATTTGATATAGTTACTCTTGATATTTCAAAGCACTCAGAATCAACAGAAAAAAAAACAAAAAAAAACGAGCGCTTTCGAAAATTAGACTTTCAATCATTAGAGATAAATGGCCCCATTTACACCTGACGAAGAAAAGTCCATTTTCCGAAAGCACTCAGGTTATTGGCTTTCTTTTATGATGTTAATATATGCTTTAGCATCACATAAGTATTACTCACTCTAGAAACATTACCATTTTCATTAAATGCTGATTTCATTTTGTTTTTCAAAAATAAAAAGTCGTTGTGTACATATTGTTTTTTGTTTTTTTCAGTAACGAATTTTACAAACTTCAAAGTATCTATGCTACTGTAATACTTCTAGAGTAATTTGACCTTATTAAAATTATTCCATATATCCCAAAGGAATTAATTTGTATGTAAATATAAACGTCAACAGTAAGGTATATTATTATTATCATTTTCACACAACAACTTTTCACTTATACAGAAGATGACCGATAATTTACGTAATTAATTAGAAGTATATCCAAGACATCAAGAAATGTGTATGTTTATACTTCATATTTATTTAATCGTTTTTCCAGAACTCCCAAAGGCCTTACTAAGATTGTTCAAGAATCCTATGTTAATGTGCCACACATTAGGATCAAATTTTCGATTCATCGCCATGTTTGGTTTCTACATTAGTATGCCAAGATATGTAGAAAGTCAGTTTCGACAGTCGGCTTCATCTGCGAGCTTTTATTCAGGTAAGTAATGGTGGAGGTGTTTACTGGCTGCCTATCTTCTGTTCAATGATTCAGATATAGGCTTAGTAGGTTTGCTATAAATCCAAATAATTATAGTTAAGTAATGTGTGAAGAGTAATGCCTCGTCCATTTTGAAACGTTTATATCGTTAAAATTCACGTATGATTAAATTTATGGATTCAGGCTAGAGTTACTAATACATCGCTTGTAATATTTTATGGGGGAGGGGGCGTGCACTATTGACTAGCGCGTCGGGCTGAGAATCGAGAGGTCATATGTTGCCGCTCAAATTTCAAGTACTAAGTATTATGAAATTTGTGACAAACTTCACAGAGTGTAGAAAATTCTGTATACAATCTATTATAATGTAAATAACATATGCTTTAAAACTACACAGATAGGCAAACATTGGAGATGCCTGGAAGGGTGATTATAATAAGATCCACTTATCTTCCTTCATCACAGTATTAGAGTTGCGAAATCTTTCGAGTCACAAATCCTTCCTGGATTTGTTAGCCTTCAACATAACAAACTCAGTTAGATCTAACGTTTGTATTTTGACATTTACATTAACTGAATTGCGGGTTATTGTAAACCGTTTATAAGGCATTGAGCCCCCCCCCCCCCAGTGGCACAGCGGTATATCTGCGAACTTACAACGCTAGGAACCGGCTTTAGATACCCGTGGTGGGCAGATCATAGATAGCCCATTGTGTAGCTTTGTGCATAACTACAAACCAAGAAGGCAATGAGTATTCACCCAATAAATATCAAATAAGCAAACAAGAAAATCTGTCGAAAATTATGCTTCTCAATCTTATTTCACAGGAGGTAGTATGATACACCATATTTACGATATTATGGTTTTAGTTTGATAAGACTTTTAATGTAAGTCTTAACATAATAATGATTTTATCAGGAAAAACATTATTTCCTCATATCTTAGAGTATTCCTACGGTTTCGTAACTTAAGCTAGAATAAATTTCGACCACGTATGTATAAAGCTCATGTAAGATGATAGTGCGTCTGAGTGTTTGTTTTGATTATTCAATATTTGATTGAAAACACTGCGATTCAGTTGTCTTAACGGCACACATTAACTATAAAGTATGACATTCAGCTTAACAGACGCATTAACAACAATATGATAACAGATCTAGCAACGTATTTGCTTCCTAATAAAACTATTAAACTATCACTCTTAAACCAATAGACGATGAATCTGCTATATATATAGCTCCTAACCTTTTGTTTAAATAAGACTAGTGTGTTGCAAGCACTGTTTCCAACAAATTAGACATTTTGAAATAGCTGTTTGTTGTCTGCATAGCTATGACATGAAGACAAAATCCTATTGTTGAGGTTCAGGGTTTGGAAACACAGTGTATTTCACTTTTATTGTTAATAATGTTAAGCTGGATGGTTCCTGCTAATATTATAACCATAATTCTTTGACCATAAAAGAATGATGTTCATTACTACAAAATAATCTTTTTTTGTGTGTTAATTCGTCGAAGCATATACATGCATCGTAAGTTCAAGATTGAAGATGGTCTAAATTTGGGCAGCAAAAGTAATGTTTCAGTGTTGCCCTTGCGTGAGTGTATGCCGTCTATTTTCTACATTAATTCACGCTATGTGTTTTTGAATTTATTTGTCCGTGAACTCTTCCCATAGTTTCGGAGTTAGCATGACCAAACTTGGCAGGCGGACTCGGGGTTGGCCCGACAAGTTTCTCTATCTATATGGTGTACAAATGGTCTAAAACGCACCCGAAAGGTCAGCCAGTCATTCTGGGTGGTCCAAGAGTATGTTTACTTGATCGATAAAATCAAATCTGACATCGAATTTCGTGTTCTTAGCCCCCCTTTCGGGTATCCTGGGAAAGGGGGATCATTTTTCAAATGGTATTCATGCCCCAACTTACAAATTAGCAGAAACAACGTTGGCATATGCACTCAGGTTTCTCGGGCAGTTAATCTAACGCATATTTTTAGGGCACCAATCTTCGCTGAGGTAACTATATAACTAATCGGGTATAATAGAGGAGCTTGATCGGTACATTGAGGCTTCTGAGAATCATGAGGGGGGGGGGGGGGGCTTTGAAACGAACAGTAGGGCTCGGGTGTTTTATTCTTGTTGTCAGTAACTATCAATATAAAAAAGCATCATATTTTTGTAGAACCAGTAAAATGCTTTATTTTTTAAATCACAGAATCCAACAAAATATTGTGGCTACTGTAAAAACTGTATTCTCGATAATTGCCTTGTAGTTTTATAAAGTGTCATTTTAAATTATAATATAAGTACCAAATACTTTGATACTTAGCCGCTAAAGTAACTAATACCGGTCTTATGTAGTTTACTTTCTTCCTATGGGGAACATGTAATCTTTCAAGTATATTGCGTGCGTGAGATAAATGATTAGACCATAACACATAACAATCTGCTTGTGAGACATATAAAGGCCCCGTTGGCGCCAGTTATCTACTATCTAGGTTTGTACAGTACATGAGGCGTATAAGTAATTAACTTAGGTTACCTAACGTTAGGTTTTACGGATAAGAAAATAAGAACAATTATTTCTTTTCCATTATCCATATCTTTTTTTCTAAATTACATATCTGTCCGTCTCACCTGTAAACAGAAGAATGACGCAGAATAGCGTAATGCTAGTGACTAACATAGACGAGATGACAGGTAAATGGCGTCTTGAGAATAAATAAAAAATTTAGAATTACAAGACTTGAAATAAATTGACAAAATAGTTATGAAAAAAAAACAACATTCATTTGAAACTGGTTTGAATTTAAATTTATTTAGAAAAAGTTATAGATATATTTATATTGACAATAAATTTTATGTTTATATTACAGGACAGCTTTACTTACGATAAAAGTTATGGCTTAAAGCCTAAATGCTCCAACAAGCCCTCCAATATTTATTTTGGGGGGGGGGCCAAGTTTTCAATGTCTCTGTGTTTTATGGTTTAGTGTCATTTTTTAGTTCTAATTTCTCAAGTTATTAGTTGAAGGCTTGAAGCTTACGAAAGAGTAAACCCATTTCTAGGGTAAGAGGATAAGTAACGCATTGATACTTACAAATACGTTCATTATTAACATCATTCTTTATTGTTAAATAGAGTTGTTTAAACATTTGTTTATCAACAATTAAGTACCAGCTGCCCAGTGTCGGCTAACAATACGAAGAATTAAATTGTGGCGAAATGCTACAATTTCGTCAAATACCTGTAGAATGATAGGTTTCTTTTGTGTGAGTGTAAAACACTTAAATACGCCATTTCGATCATTTTTCATTGTTAGACAACATGTTCCAACGCTACAGTCATTATTAACATCATTCTTCATTGTTAGACTACATGTTCCAACATTACGTTCATTATTAACACCATTCTTCATTGTTATACAGCTATAGTCAGAACTTGACAATAATGTCGGAGGTGGAAGGGGAGAACAGCGTTTTCTTAACATCTTGTTCGAAACATAGATAGATGTTAGATTACACTATATATGCATACATAAGCCAAAGCCAAGATGTTTAATATAAATTGAAAACAAACCATTACTCATAATAGAAAATTTTAAAAATTTCATAAATAATGATTTGAATAATACAAATAGAAATCATACTATTTGTTAACAAAGTACTAAATGTATGATTTTTAATTGTTTTATTTAAATTTACAGTTATTTAATTTTAAAGTTATCTATTGTAAGTAATGATTTGTTTTGGATTTACACTAAACATCCTAGTTTTGATTTTTTATAGAATTTTCCATCATTGTTATATAGTGATTGTTTTATCTCATACATAGAATTGATGCAAATAATAGTATTAGACTTATTTTTCTCGTGTATATACATGTTTACATTGTTTTTAACTATCTAAAACACCAAAATTATCTTGAATAATTTCGTTTCCAACCAACGGTATATTGTTTTGTCAACTGTTAAAACGTTGCTGGTATTGATTGGGGAGGGTGACTGAATAAATTTGCGCCCGATCTATAGACATTGATTGTAAATCTCCCGTGTAAAATATTACCATTGAATATAACTAGAAAATGTGAAAAAAACAACATGATTCATCTGTTCTTGTTAAAATAGAACGGCTTCACAAGTAAATAATTTTGCATATTTTGTTCTTCACTCTCCCACAGTTTATTTAATCTGCTCATTGCTTCAAAGTATGGATCCATACATGCACACTTCAGTGGTTTTAACATTAGTTTGGTTAAAACATGCTCAAATGTAACAAATATGCTCCGCATGTTTGAAGAGAATAGATATTTTCATCGGCTGTGTTTTATTGCGTACAATTAGTGTTATTTCAAGATTATTTTTATAACCACAGTCGAACATTTTAATCAATATATAAATATCAACAGCAGGGAAAATATATTACATGTATTGTTAACTGAATTTTATTTTTGTTAGCCCAGAATTTCAAACTGGACATTCTCAGGCTTTTTATTGCAGAAAACATGACAGTGTACGTGTGTACAAACGTATTTAGAGAGTTTATTCGTTGCGAAGTATAAAGGAAATTGGCTATTAGCCATTGTTTATTATTTTTGAAGCTATGTGAATACGACTCTAAACTATAAGATATAAAGCACGTTATTCTTAGAGAATAACACAGAATTACGGTAGCTTTGAAAGAACATTTTCTTTTAAGATCTCCATTTTGTATTAACGTCTCTACCAACTAGCTGAAATAGACTGTAACAGCTGTGAAACATCACACCGTTTTAATTACACTAACATGGGTGGTTCACAAATATTTGAGCCGATTACCTTTTCTTGTGTTTTTCTGTTTCTCTGTCCTTATTTCGCCACTTATGAAACTTTCAAACAAATGATAGTCTTCTACAATGGGAATTCCCACATGTGACACCAGCTAGCTATGATAAGAATTCTACTTGCTCCATAGTGGTATAAGAAAACATTGTTGTGCTTCAGCTGTGCACTACCGGTCAGGTAATTATCCGAACCACGATAGTATTTCATACCAGGTATGGCAAGAAATCGCATAATATCCTAAAAGAACTTACTGGAAAAAAACACGTTAAACAGTAAAGATTCAGTTCAAACAACCCTTAAAACTTTAACTATTGATTGCTAAGGCTGTACACATATAAAAATGCACAAAAAAATGCATGTCAGGCTTGCAAGGAAAATAAAATCTGACCCGTTTCTTCTTCTTCTTATTATTATTATCATTGATATTCTCTTGTCAGCCTACAACAAAAACGGCTTGGTATATTGCCCCCAAACTGCGAAGGTTGTGGTGGTATTTAAAAGTCGATTAGTTTCTTCTATATTTTACCTGAGTTAAAAACATCATAATTTTAGTGTACACGATATTATCAATACCCATTGAAGTTAACTATCTTACAAAAATCTGCTGTTAGTGAAAAAGCTTAAGTACAGGGTGAAACGGGAATTACTAGCCAATAATAAATTAGCATTAGATGGCTGTAACATGTAGAAACTAAATGCTTTCTACACTATACAATCGGTGCCTTTGGAGAACTAACCCCTATATTATGTATGTAGTGAAGGAATAAGAAAAATCAATACTTATGATATTAAATTTTATTACACACATTCGTAGAATAATTACTTTGAAAGGCACGAAGGTTTATTTAAAGCGATGTTTTAGAAGTACACATATGTTTTATTTAAAAAGGCTGCTTTTCTACTGGTAAAATTTTAAATGCTTATAGTAGGGATTGTGTCTCAGTCTAGACATATATTTTCCTATTGCTATGCATTATATATAGAGAGAATTTAGTTACAAAGAAACTATAAATGCTCACTATATTCTCAAACAAATCTCCGTGACAATCTCCAGCTGCAGCTTAACATTTTACGTCTCGAACTAATGCGATCAATTAGTCAATAGCTAGAGTAAATAATCATGAACCGTATCAGTTAGCTACTGCCTATGTTTATTATTATTACAGTGTATAAAGTTAGATACCATATCAAGTAATCATTTGCCCATAGTTGAGCATAAAGAAGCCAGCAAACAAGATAAATGAAAAATTGGGAATTTTGAAACCTGCAAATAAGGGTCGTAAAAAACGTAAGCAAACAAGGTTGGAGATACTGTAGACATTATTTACTCAAACTAAAATCCCTATTTTGATTCCACCAAATATAATTATAGGTAACAGCATGGAGCCAAATTAGGAGTTTGTAGTTTGAGTAAATAATGTCTGCAGTATCTTCAGCCTTGTTTGCTTACTTTTTAAGTTTTTAAATTCACAGTTTTCTATTTATCTTATCACACAATATTGTATCTCGATCTAAGTCTCACTAAACTAAGAGATCACCGTCGGTCATTAAAAATTTTAACTCAAAGAAACGCATATTATCGTTTTTGCCAATTTTCAAAACAACGTGGTTAAGATGAACATAAAATAAATGCAAAACAACCACACGTCTCAGTGCGGAATTTAATTGCAAATTACTGTACTACCACCATCACCCTTGTCAATAAACAACTTACTCTAAACAACTAGAATATATACGCGTTATTGGATTGCATAGAATGATATTACTATTTAAATACGTTTCGTTGGTAAAGAAAATGAAGTATTCGTTAAAACAATACAATATTAGAATCACATAAATATTCAAAAGTATTAGATGATCAAATATAAAATAGCAAGTTCAAGCCCAGTCTCCCATCACCTAATATAGACAAGTTCATAGCATGAGGTTGATAGAAAGAGCTGTCAGTATATCTCTTAAAAGTCAAGGTTTTATGTACTCCTAATGTTATACATGTAGAGTGTAATGTTAAACCAATGTGGTGTGTGATAATTATAATGTATTATACACAGTGAAACTAACGTTTTGTACGCATATTAACAAGTGCAACTTATGTAGTTTGACTATTTCATTATTATATAACGTTTGTGCGATAATTATTTGAGTAATTAATGTTTGAATTTAAACTCAAAACAGATGTCTAAAATAATGTGAAGTATCAGTCATAACCTATATGAAAATCCATTCAAATGCCTAAAATTTATACTTTATATATAATTTGTAATTAAAACACAGCGGAAAAATAATTTCGCTGTAGATTTATTTATCAAGAAAATCGTCAGTACTAGGATTTAATACCGTTACTATGGTAACAAACAACCAGAACTAGAAACATCTGTAACTAAAGCTTATTTAGTTTTTCCAGTTATTAATTCACGATGTATGTTTTGCAGCAATACAATTTTCACTGAGCACTTTGTTTTAGCCAACTTTACAGACATATTACGAAACATTTTATCAGGTATTTTATTGGTGAATTATTAGACTCATAATTAAATCCTAATTACTGAGAATCACGTAAATTAGATAGGTTTCCCTTTGTTATAGCATCTTTCTTTCAACAAATGTTTGATTCAATGTAGTGATTTGGGAGGGTCCTTTCCGAGGTTAGCTGGCTTGTGAGGAAGATGCAAGTAGTACCTAAAACAGAGACTCTACTACGGTAAGGTAGAGAAAAAACTTTTAACGGCATATAGCTCGAGTTTTGTCAAAACTAAATACTGAACATTCCGCTGAGTAAGTTCGACATTCTCAAATGCGATAAAAAATAAACAAAATACAGCGTTTTCTATGTCTTTTTTTCTAAAGGGAAAAAACTGAAAAATTTGGATATTTTAATGCTTAGATCTAAAAACTTATAAGAATTATTTGGAAGTTTATTATTACTGCTTATGTCGTTTTTATCTAAAACAGCCATTTTTTTTCATTTCATCATGTTAATTTTTTTGAATTGCATAAACGTTTAAAAACATGAGAAAATCTGTGTTTATGTTGCTGAAACATAGATGTTAAGTTTATTCCTGTTACTTCAATGCATTACGCTGTTGGAACGTATGCATTCAATTTGATGCATCACGTTAGTAGATATATTTTTTTTTTACGACTGAGCACGAGTGAAGATTTATCTTATATAAAAAAGAGCACACACACACACACACACCCCTCCTGGAACCATCTAAGTTTGAAATTCTATAGGAAAACATTTTGAGTTATTATTTACGGAAAACAACTTATAAAGTCTTTTGTTGAGCCCAAGAAATATATCACTCATGAATTTTTGGTTGAAACCTTTAGAATTATTGAAATAAAGCGTACGAGTATTTGTCTAATTATTTTCTCTGATTTTTTTACTATTTTAAAATTTTAGAAGAAAATCTGCATTTAACTGTGGGTTTTATTTTAAAAGTAAAAAAATATATATTTCAGAATTTTCATCTTCAAATGTATATATAATCTATCACGATAATTTCCTATGTTAAATAGCATTTTCAAAATATTGAATAATTTAAAAAGTTTATGAAGAGAATTTTCTCAAACTCACAGTTAATATCATTGATTTACAACTTATTTCCTGATTGATATTAACATTTATAAACAAATGAAAATAAATAAACTGAATAATTTTTTCTTTAAAAATGAAAAAATTATAAAACAATTTGAACTTATTTGAGTGGGAAAGGTGGTCTTTTTCCAAAATAATGTAGACTTTTCTTCTACACAAAGAATTTAAATGATTCGCATAAAAATCAAATATCTATTTAAAAATATCAGAATACAAACAAACAGAAGATACTGGACCTTTCATAAGTTTTATAATATTGGGGTAGTAATTCGATCTCCCCTCTCGGACACCATGGCTATGCCCCAGAAAATCCGAAACAATTAAACACTCGCTTTAATATCAAATAAATGATACTGCTTTATTTTCATTTTGTTTCCAAGATATTCTTGAGAACTTGAATATTGTAATTTTGCGTCACTTAACGAAGCTATGGCCATCTATTGTCAGTAATCTCTAACAAATATTTCGAAATCTTGGGGTTTGTCTTGAAAGACACTACGTTTCATTTACAAACTTTAAAGACGTTATCATGTAACTATACGGTAAAAGTATATAGATAAACATTTGTGGTGACAAATAATTAGAAGAATAAATTAATTATAAGATTATTTGATAACTTTTATTAAAGTCTTTCATGGAATATTTTCCAGTACGTCAACAGCTTTTGTATTTATGGATTATATTTAAGTCCTGATCATTCCGATTAGTATTAGTTTGAATAATTCTACTTTTTAGCGGTTTATAATAAACTTAGATTTTTTTTCAAATTATTATATCATATAGTTCTGAAATATTGGTTCTGTCACTATTTCTTATATTCTTGACCAAATGATTCCATATTATTTCAGGTACAATCAGTATATTCACAATGCTAATAGGAATACTTGGAGGAGGTGCAATAATACGAAAATTTAAACCTAGACCAAAGTACCTCACCGGCTACATGTTTGCGGTGGAGGTCATCGGTATTCTCGGCCTCTTAGCATCGATGTTTATTGGATGCACTTCTCTCAATCTCGCAGGATCCACCATCTCTGAAAATGGGTAAATTCAAGAATTTACATACTCACGCTTCAGAAACTATACACATTTCTTTGGATAATGTTACAATGATAATATTGATGTTTCTAGAAGGTTCTTTTATGTTTTTTTTTTTAACAAAGTATTTTTGTTTTTATGTCAAAATATAATTTAGATATCTTACCAGCCAAACATATATTTCAAACAAGTCTGTTACTAAACAATCTGTTTATCAAAAAACCACTCTGGAACACGATTTTCGATCCTTAACGCTAGGCCAGTTGAAATTATAAAAGTAGATATAGAGGATATGTTGCTTAGAAACAGTTTATAGTCATATTAAGTACGTCAGAGCTTGTTTCTTCGATGTTTCCTCACATCAAGTAGCAATAGTCTTTGCCACCTCTGTTTTTTCAGCACGGGAAGGTTTCATGAGAGAATGCTTAATAATTTCGAAATTTTGCTTCAGTTCAGTTGCGTATTTATTTGTTTTCTTATACAAGTCCGATTTTAGAGGCTTCTTTACTTTAATTTCGAATGATTTACACTTTTATGTTTCTTTTAATTTGTTCATACACATTACAAAAACTTCTATCTAAGAGTTTATTATTTAGTATTTGAAATTTTAAATTATACAGACAGGAAAATAGTAAAGAAAAATTTTAACTTTAAAGAAGGTATATATTTCTGCTTAGTTTATATATATAATCAACCATCTTCTTATGCATTAAGAAGGCTGGTTGTACCCGGCATTTGAATACAATGGCTCTCGGTTCGCGTCCCATTGCCACAAAAAGACGCTCCACACTAAGGGGGTGTTAGTGCGCTATAAAATTGACGTTCAGATCCTAGTATTTGTTCAGACAAAAGTGTTCCAAGAGTTAGGGTAAATGTTGCTTACTAATTGTCTTCTCACCAGTTTAATCCTCTCGATGGCTCAGCGGTAATTGTAAGTGCTTATAAATCTAAACTTTTTGGCTCCATCCATACGATGCCATACGGCAAAGCACAAATAGCCATTTGAGCAGATTTGTGCTTAACTCAAAACAAACGAACTAATCATAAAGTCTAACACTCTAAAATTAGGCTGCGAACAGATAACGCTTGTGTAGCTTTATGCGATAATTGTAGAATACAAAAAGGGTTGTGCGTACTTATATGTAATTGATCATGATCATGACAATAATGAAACGAATTTTATGAATGCTGCACTGGATTCTTGGAGTTAACCACTACTGTTTTAATCCACACACTTTATACATAAACACCGAAAGATTCATATCTTTATAAACACTTTATAACGCCCTCTAGTGGCACAGCGGAATGTCTGTTGACTTACAACGCTAGAAATCGGATTTCGATACCCACGGTTGGGAGAGCGTAGATAGCCTATTGTGTGGCTTTGTGGTTAATTCCAAACAAACACTTTACAAAACATGCTAAATAGAACAATTACAAGATCAACAACTTCAGTCAAGTTATCATAGGTGGCAGAACATATTTGAATTTAGGGAAAGGACACCGACGATCAGGGGCACATTGTTCACTATCTAACCGTAACCACACAAAATTTACTATTAGAAAAATATCTCATTCTGTACTTTCCCTCTTTTATACTATATTTTAACACTATTATATTAATTTAAACTACCTATTGTAAACGTTAGTACTACATATAGATGATCATAATAAACATGATTTTATTATTGCGTAAGGAGCATTTTAACACCAAATTATAAATATCAGATATGAATGACATTTACTTATCATAAATCTTTTCCCTTTTCTGCGTGTGTGTACGTGATAGCATTCAGTTGGAAAATAGCTGTAATTCTCATTGTGGATGCACGACAAGAGTTTTTAAGCCTGTCTGTGGGCCTGATGGTGTATCTAACTATTTCTCACCATGTTTTGCTGGCTGCACTGGCGAGACTGGAGAAGGGAAGTCTATAGTAAGTGACTTTATTCACGACTTTTTATATTCACATTTTTCACTCAACGTTTTCTCTACATATGTATAAAATAAGTGGTTTCTTAATATGAGCCAAAAACACAGGAATCTAATAAAGAGTTATCATTAAAATATCAACTGAATAATTATAACGAATTTCTTGTTTAAATTTCATTAAACGTACGAAAATTGGACGATTTGCGTGTCTTATATGACATTCGTTAGAATTTTTTTGTACTAAGAACATACTTTAGTATTTAGCTACGTGACATTCCTTGATCTGTATTTTATCCCAAGAGCATACATTAGTATCTGTTTGACCTAAGAGTATACATACCTTACTAGCGTATCTTAATGGTTGGTTTTTCTGATTAGCTTATCACGATGATAATATGTATAGAACTAAATTCCTGTAACCCTTTCACAATATAAAATTAGCACGCAAAAAAACAAAAAAACAAATACGTATACACTGTATAGTGTGACTATGAACATCCTCTTTATACTTTAACATAATATTTATAAAATTTCTTGAACTTGGTCTTCATGATCTATAAGTCATAACAATGGTTTTTGTGTTTCATTTGTTAGGACTTCCAAACATGCACCATTTGTTTATATGCATTTTCCGCATAACTGGCTAAAGAAGTCTTTTATCAAGTAAACAACTTATGATTTTCTTAAATGCTAAACAAAAAATTCAAAAATGATAATAATTCTCGTGGCTTCTCTCAAAGTATTTTGCAATTTTTTTATTTTGGGCCGAATAGGTTGTTGTTTTCAAATTTTAACAATGCAAAATATAATGATTGATGATACATACATCTATAATTTAAAATGAATTATTATAATAGAATTGTTTGATTATATTTCATTATCTATATAAGAAAACTTACTGTTTCAGGGTTTCACAAACTGCAGCTGTGTAGTAAACGAAATGAACACTTTTCCGAGGCAGAGGTCACGAGCAAATATTGTCCCTTTGAATGTGGAAACTTTGTTTTCTACATCGTAGTACTTTGCATTGGCAAGATGATTTCTGCTACAGCTAGAGTAGGAAACACTCTCGTAACTCTTAGGTAAATGTTTCTCGTTTGTTAGTCTATTTACTATCTATATTTCAAAGTATTTTACCTGTTTTGATTAACCTTTTGCTGATTCTTAATTAATTACTATAAAATAAAAAATAGTTTAATCTGAGGAAATTTTGTTTGTTTGCTGATAAGCACAAAGCTACACAATGGACTATTTGCGCTGTGCCCACCACAGGTATCGAAACCCAGTTTCCACTGGGAGGGGAGGGAGGCATGTGAGAAAATAATGGCTTACTTAGAATAATTTACCTCACAGAATTAAATGTATTTTAACTTTCTCTAGAAGGATCGTATCTACTACAAATGTGTAACGAATTGGTACAGTAAAATAGCAGATTGAAATTTTAACAATCTTATTTCAACAAAGAATTGTTTGTTTTCAGGTGAAATTTATATTATGCTAATGAAATTGCTGGTAACCAAATATTTTGTTTTTATCCCAGTGCTTATCAGTTTGGTTGAGTTTGTTTTTCGGAATGATACTTAAAATAGACATTCTCCAAAATTGTATAATGGGTATCATATCACATACCTCCCGGTGGTTCAGCGGTAAGTCTGAGGTTATAACGCTAAAAATCAGGTTTCGATATCTGCGATGGGCAGAGCACAGATCCCACTGTGTAGCGTCGTGCTTAACAATAAATAAACAATCATATTACACAGGCATGGTGCATTCTCCCCAAAACAATATTTGTAAAGAATATGTACACAAAAAGGGGACATTACTATGTACTATCATACTAGATTTATTTTAAAGAACCCGTTGGTATATGAACAGTTTATATATTTACCTTAATACCATTTATAGTCCATATTTCAAATGGAATTTTTTATCTTCAGGTGTGTGGAACCAAAGGATAAAAGTCTTGCACTTGGAGTTCTTGAGGCGTTTTTTTGTCTATTTGGTAAGTTCATTTTCTCATATTTACATTGATGAAGATTATCTGCAAACTACAGATTTAATTTATGGTATTTTATTTAAAACGTTTCGAATGTTGTTCCATGATGACCAGTACGTACAACACTAGCTACATTCCTTTATACTTCATAAAGCGTCAGATGTCATGATCTTTGATAGTGTAATAGTTAAGTTATTTTAAAATGAGTAAAAAGCAAGTTTATTCAACGTAAAATATATATTTTTAAACTGATTACTTATTGTATAGTGTACAATCATTTTAAAAACACGACACGAAATAAGATTCACAATCCTCTAAAGCTTGATTCTTCAAATTTTATTTCACAAGTGTTTTAAACTTGAATATAAAAATATATATATAAACAAATTATATTTCAACTTATTTGTAGCATTCATCCCTTATCCCCTAATTTATGGCGCCATTGTCGACTCTTCATGTTTGGTGTGGGAAGAGACATGTGGAGAAACGGGAAACTGCTGGATTTATGACTCTGAGAAATTCCGATATTCTCTCCATGGAGCATCTCTAGCGTTTCTTACCCTCAGCGTTATCTTCGATTTTCTGGTCTTTCTTTTAAGCAGCCGATTGAAGAACTTTTATTCTGAAGACGACGGTAAAGAATCACAAATCGATAAAGTTCAGGAAGAATTAACAACAGGTCATCTAGGGGGTTCTAATACAGTTTCCTTAAATAGCATCCCAGCCTCACTGTGAACAGTATCAATAGTGGCCATTTTTGTTGTGTTTTTTTTTTTACTTTTTATCAACATAAGTTACTCAAACATTTCTTTATAACGTGCCTTCATGTTTAGTTAAAGTTTTGTTTTACATATCTGTGTTTGTTTGTTTTTTTTAATGAGCGGAACATTCCTTATTTTAACACATCCTATTTTTATTTTTACACTTCAAACAAAACTTGTTCATGAATGAACATGTTAAGTTGAAACATTCAATACAACTTGCATTTTGTTTGAAATTAAACCTTACTATTATTACTGTATCATATGGTTTTACTATAACAGTCAGATAAAAGAGATACTTTGTTTACGAAAAGCGTGTAATTTCAATATGGAGCACACAAGGAACCGTTTTACAACACTCGGTTTCCTGCCAACGAAAATGGAAAGAAAATGTATCTATCCCCCGTAGCTATATCAGTACAATCAGTTACTTAAACAAGAAGAAATGTTATCATTTTGTGATGTCTAATGCTCTTTAACCAAACTGTGACTTTGTAAGATATGAAGTAAATGTTTGGCTGAGAAAGGTGTTGTTATTTCCTGTAGAATTCGAAGGTAATATAACCCAATATTAACTTTTAATCGATAGCATACCTAAATTGATTTGTGAAGCTTATTTCCACATATCTACAATTATTAAGGTCATAACAGAAACATAAAGAAAATATTACACATGGAAATAGAATAACACTTTCAGTAAAGGAAGATAAATATTAGGTCCTCAAGAAATTAATGTTGTTTTTTTTTAGATGAAAGACCCGAACAACTTATAAATCAAAACACAACATTTATTAAATGAAATAGTCTCAATTCTTATCGATGATGCTTTTCCAGCTTACAATAAGGTTGTTAATGCCTCGATTAAAGAAATCACTTGAAGCAAAAAACATGTCGATATCCTCTTTAACACCTTCCACATTTGCATACGTTTTCCCATTAAGATTGTATTCCAACGAATGAAAAATATGGTAATCTGATGGTGCCATATCTGTAGAATATGGTGGGTGGGGGAGACTTCCCAACCCAACTCCATAATCTACTGTTGTGTCAAACATGCCACATGTGGACGTGCATTGTCGTGGAGAAGAAGAACACCTTTCCAATTGACGAATGAATGGCGTTTCTGATGAAGGGCTTGATTTAAACGTTCCAGTTGCTGACTATAGATGTCTGCATTAACAGTTCGCTGTGGATTGAGAAGTTCGAAATGAATTACTCATTTGATGTCCCACTAAATGCAAAGCATCACTTTCAAGCGACGAAGTCTGGGTTTTTGTGTAGGACTGATCCATTGTTTTT